TATCCAACTACTTTTACAACTATCACAAAACATATACGATCAGTTATAGATACCATATTGTGCTAAACTTACACAATAGAAACAACAAAATAATATACTTTTCAGACCTAACTATAATACAACAACTGCTCATACTTGAAATATAGCACAACATAGAATATTATATACTTATAGCTGCCTTTGTAGTTTGCCAGACCAACAATATAATGATAATACTTGTCCACCCCTTAGAAAAGCAATTAGAAAAATATCTTTATGGACTATTATATGGATTAAATTTAGTACTCTAACTAATAATATTTTATATTATTAAATCTAGGTGAGTTTTAACTACTCTAGTAGGTTTAGATTACAGATGAATCAGAATTTCTAGTTTAGATAGTTTCTGGTAGTTTGAGTCTCATTTTTGTAAAAATCTTTGTAAATTGGCTCCAGCCAGAGGAACCCATAGTGGATCCTCAATGCAAATTATTAGTAAAGATAAAGGCAAAACCTTACCTTAAAAAAAAAATAAAAATAAAAAAAATAAATTTAGTACAAATTAAAAAAATTATTATGCAATAGTATTACAATGAATTTTATTGATATTTTGCTAAAATATATATTAAATCTTATATTTTATTCAGGCAAAAAATCTAATCATATTTATATATAAAATTTTGTATAAATTTAACTTATATAAAAAATTATTTTAAGCATTTTTGATATACTTAATTTAGTATAGTAAAATTTTATAAATAATTTTGTAAATTATATAATAATAATTAAAAAAAATTATTTATCTTTATTTTAATATATTTTTTATAAATTTAAAATATGATTACTAAAACATTTAATATATATTGCTTTTAAAGTATTACAAGTATAGTAGTATCTTATTTTTGTATTACAATATTTACAATGCAATTGTAGATAAATAGTTTTACTATGTCTTTTCTTTTTTTTTAAAAAAGTTTTTAAAATTATATTGTATTTGAGATGTATTAAAATGTATTTTTATCTCTGAATTTTCAACTATACTAAAATTTCTATTAAGCATTTCATGAGCCAATTCTTTTCTAAAATCAAAATAAAAGATATTATATGCATTGTTATGCTATTTTTTATATATAAAAAAAGTATTAGCTTCTGCAATTCCTAATAAAAAAGAAAATATACACATTTGCTAACTTGATTCTCATATAATATATGAAATGATGTTATATTATTATGCATCTAATATATAATATAAAAAGTTTATATAATAGTAATATATTATATATAAAACATATAATATAAAAAATTAACATACTTGATTATTAATATTTATAGCCCCTTTAGCTTGTAAGTATTCATAAAAAATTTTAGGTCTTGTAAATTTAATAGTTGTTAAGCCAGTATTATTTTTGATTACATATTCAACCTCATCAGCTTTTGTTGTTGTAGATGCTGTTGCAATTATATATTGAGGTTTTTGATCTTGTAAAGAAGCTGCTATTAATTGTACATTATCAATTGTTATAACTTTTGATATACAAGATCCATAAGTACTATCAAGTTTTTCAACTATATTCTGTAGATAATTGATTGGCTATCTACATCTTTTTTTTATATAAAAAATACTATACAATACATTTTGCATTAATGCAATGCAAAGTTTAGGCGAACCAAACCAACTATCTCTAATTACTGTATGACCACTATTAAATCATAATTGTGTTAATTGCAATATATATGCCATAGAACTACTATAATTAGAAACAAATCACTTATTTTTTTTAATTTCTTTATTTTCACAAGGTTTTAATTGAATAATAATATTTGTTAAACTATCAGCAAGAGTTTTCTATTCTTGTCCTATAGGATGTGGTTTTCATAGAATTTTGCAACAATCTGAAATCTTATTTTAGTGCCTAATCATGAGTTTATTGACTCATTAACACATAATATACTTCTAAGCAGTATTGTTACAGAACAGTTGTGGACAGTAAGTTTGGACACTTTAGCCAATTTTGAACAATTAAATAAATAAGATAATCTATATTACTTTCTAAGTAAAATATGTTTAACATCTAAAAAAATATATAGTTATATATATTTTAAACAAATTTATTAATTATTAAAGCTTAAGTATACTCTGGACACTTTTGGACACTTGGATATTTGGACATTAGACAGTACCAAAAAAGCCTTTAGACAGTCAAAATGTATATTCCTGCTTCTAGAAATTATAACCTTATCTAAGTTTGCATTAAAAGCATTAATAAAATCACAAACTGAAAATAATGAATTACTATTATTAGATATTTCTAATTCATTTGGTACCATTAATATATGATGTGATACTATTTGTTCAAATTGTAGAATACTCATCCAATACTAAAAATTAAATGGTAATAAAGAATATATATTTTGAGTTTTCTAATAAAAATGATAATTACTTATAGAAACTATAGGCATTAATATCCAAAGCCCTAACCAGGTTATATACTTATTAATATTCATATTAACCTAAATTGAATTTTTTCTTCTACATAAATTTATATATTTAACAATGTTTTGTTTAATATAATTCATAGGAAGATATCGATGAAATATAGTATAAGGTAAGGCTAAACTGATAAATACAATGTTAATTTTATATGCATAATTATATGTTGGATGAATTGTATATTGATCAATTTTTACTGATTGTTTTCGCTATTTCACTGTTGTAGTAAGGTTAACTTTACTAACATCACTAATATTACTAGCACTATCTTTTTCTCTGAGCTATTTTTATTATATTTAGAAAGATTTTGTTGAATTGTTGAAGTTTCTGCAATTTCATTATTTAAAGGTACTTGCTTTTCATAATGTAAATTTCCTCTACAAATATTTACAACCAAATTTTCATCTTCAACTTCATCAAACTTTATTGAAATGTACGAGGTACTTCAGTTAATTCTCTCATAACCCAACTATAAAGATATAAGTTTTTTAAACTTTCATTACTTTGTTGTATATATTGTGAAATAATATTCTTTGGTAATGCTGTTGTTTTACAATTAACACGTTCTCTAATAACTATTTTACTTGAAATTCATGGCATTGTTCAGATATATATGAATATACATATTGGCAAAACTAAAAATCTTAAAATATTATCCAAATCTCAAATTCCAAATCTCAAATATAATAAAATTGTCCTAAATCTCAAATCCCAAAGCCCAAAGCCCAAAGCCCAATTTCATCACAAATATAATAAAATTTGTCTCAAATCCCAATAGTTTTGCTAGCAAGTATATACATAAAAATGGTAAATAAATATACTTTTAACAATTTATATTTTTTTAAAAAAATTTAAGATACACAAAAGAATTATATAATCAATATTTTTGTGATTTTTCATATTAAAATTGCAAAATCGACTATAAAAGTCTCAAGATCAGGTAATTATATAATATGGTATTTAAATTATAAATTTATTTACGCGGAGGACATTATATGACGGTCAGACCCAACGTACAGAGCAGACTATGGAATTCTGCGCAGCTGTGAGAACCGAGCTTGAAACGGCGATCGACTCTGTAGAAGACACTTGTAATACTGGCAAATCATTTTCAACATCTTTAGTCCCCTATGATAAGCCAACTCAACAGACTAACTATACAAACACCTTTTATATAAATGAACCACACATAATTTTATACAATCCCAACACAAGTTATAATAAGATTCTACTATCTTGCAACCTTCCTACACTTCCGTACCCACAAACTATCAACTCTTTCATTAAACACCTTGAATCCTTCAACTACAACCT